AAAATAAAAATTTTATTAACTAAAAATTAATTAAATATTAAATGATTAAACGTACAATAGAAATAAGTGATGTGATATTTTTAGGAAAAAAATATATAAATGATTAAACATTTGATAGAAATGAGTGATGTGATATTTTTAGAGGAGAAAGTATATAGGGCATAAAAATGTAAATTACTATGTATTTTATTATATAGATATTACTTCATAAAATTCCAAAGACCAAGAAAATATCTGATGAGTTGAGTAAGAATAATGGAGATATATAAAATTGTATAAATTCTCAAGATAATAAACTACTGAGCCATAAAATTAAACTTTTGAGGAACAATGATTGAGCAACAATTAATGAAGCAATAATATATCAAGTCAATTTGGATTTATTCTTAGGAAATTAGTAATGGAAGTTGTATACTTATTCCGAGACCAATGAAAAGATACAAAGAGAAAAAATAAAGATCTTCCTTTAGTTTTACAGGTTTAGAAAAAGCATATGGTAAAGGATGGATTTTAGAGGGGAAAAGAATAAGTATATTAATAATAGGGATTGTACACACGTGATACCAAAGTGCGGATAGAAAGAATGAGAAAGTAAGAAATCACAAAAAAATATTAAAACATATAAATTTCCGTAGTTAAATATGGTGGATGAAAAGTTATAGGTTGTTAAATGTGATAGAGAATGATTACATGACTCCTGATAACTACCAATAATGGGAGAGGACATCACAACCACACTCACCCTTTCTTAATAATATATATTACAAGTAATACTATTGGGACCTAATTCGTTGACTTAATTCACTATAACCTTTGGATTAATCGTAGGACTCATCAAATAATAGAATTTAGTGTTGATTTTATGATTCTATTGAAGTCATCCTATTATATCAGCAAATTAAGTTAGATTTTTATATCTAAATAATATTACTCATATATGATTAATATATGAATGTTCAATGACTTTACTGAGAATAAATACAATGGAGAATAATGAATTCTCAGCAAATATCATGATTCTATCTTTTTGTTCTAGTCGTTCCATGGTTTATATTATTTGTTGATATGATATTTTAATGAAAATAAAAAATAAATTAATAATAAATTTAAAATTCAGAAAGAGAACGTTTAGAATAAAAAAATATTTAAGATAAGTCAGAATAAAACATAATAAACTAAATGGATGAACGAATCTGATATATAGTGCAGTCATCCTATACCTCTCATGTCAGAAGGAACGTTCTATGGTTCTTTAATAAGTAGAATTACTAAACAGAGAATTCATGTAAATCAATTAAAAAATAGTGGGACAAGACTATGTTGGGTTTAGTTGAATTTAATTGTGTAAATGAGAGATAGTTGGGTTGTTGGCTCCATCTAGACGCGCAGGCGAAACTTGGCCTCGATCAGGTTACGCAATTTTTAGACTGATTTTTTACCTTATATAAACCCTTGGGGAGCTGTTTTAGGGTATCTTTACACACTTTCAACCCCAAGGACCCTAGGAGAATCTTAAAGAGAAAGAAGAGGAAGATAGAATGTAGATCAGAGCAAAGATCATTGATATCCGTGTGTAGTGAACAACGTAGGGCATCCTAGGATCAATTTTTGCAGAATCAAGGTAGGGTTTTTTTTTTCTTTTTTATGCATTGAAGCTAGGGCTATTATGTATATAATTTTTGACTCGAATCTGCATATATACTATAGATCTACAAACATTTTGGATTTCTTTCAAAAGTATGATTCTTTTTCGTGTAAAAAATATCTAATTTACATTTGATGCATTTTTGGTTTGTAAATCCTAGATCTTGAATAATGTCTAATTTATATTGTGGGAAATGATGTTTATGGTATATGTGATCTATTTGAAAAACATGATTAAATCTCTTGCATTGATTGGCTTGATGAACTTAAATGAACTCGAACATATATTGCAGAATGTTTATGTATATATATATTTTTTTACATCAACGGGTTTAAAGGTTTTTTAATCACTCATAGTGGGATTCATTCCTTGCGGGGTGCCAAATCACTATCCGTTCACATGGGTTCGAGGCTGAAAGTTAGTATATTATTTGTGGAAGATTTCATTAAAAACTAATGCGTTCTTGAAGCAATGTGGCCTTGCGGGGATTGATTGAATGTTTTTATGCTTGTGGGGGAATGATCTAGATATATTTTGTCTATGAATTATTGCTAGTCAACCTACATGCATGGAATAATTCTGTTATAATTTTTTTATTATCTACATGATCATTATATGATGAATTTTTGTACATGGATAAAAACTTGAGATCATTAACAATATCGCTTATTTTATTTTAAAAGTTATATATTTTATTTTAGAAATTGAGACCTACTCTTTGTTTATGGTTGAAAAAGTTTCTCTACTGAGCTCGTTGTACTCACCCATTTCTTTAACATTTTTCAAATTTGGGGATTGAGACCGATACAGGATTAGATGAGAATGTTGTTTGGGATTTTGAAGTGGATCAGGATGAGAATCCAGAATTCAAGGCTTGAGGATCTGTTTATTGATTTAGTTAATATGATTTCTCTTGAAGATGGAATAATGTTTATGAATTTTAATGATCTAGTTAGAGGAGAAATATTTATTTGTGTTTAAGGTTTCAGATATAAATGTTGATTAGGGATTTACGATTTTCGGGTTTTGCTTAGTTATATGATGTGGATATTATTATTTTTATTTGTTGAAAGATATTATTCAGAAGTCTCTAACTATTTTAAAGGTTTTTAGTTGGATCTAAAAAATGTGGTGTGACACTTGCGAGGGGAGGTTTAGGGAGTGTAGGTTGGGCTGCATCTAGTAGTTTAATTTCAAAAGTTAACATCCGTTAAGCACATTGAAGTTTACTTTGAACTAAAAAATGGGAACAATGATCTTAGTCATAGAAGAAGAAAAAGAAAAAAGTGGTAGTAGTATCGGAGGATCCTCCTATTTTGTAAGAGTTGTAGATGATATGCTACATGGGTAAGTGTCAACTAAGCTCCGATCTACGTAATGTAGTTCTTCCCCTATTTGTTAAGTTGATGTACAATTTGACATACTATAAGAGTTGAATCTTTTTAGAAATAAAATTAAGTTTCTCTTTGTGTCCATTATGTTGTCAAAACTTCCATTTTAATTTACATGCTTTGAAGTTCTAATAAATTCACATACACAAGCAAACACTCAAACACAAGGATATAAATAAACACACACACACACACACACATATATATAAAAATGCCCCACTTTGACATATAATTTAAGGGAAAATTACACTTTGATCCCCTCAATTATCATCTTTTTTATTTTGAGAAATTTGAAGTTTGGTCCCTCTATGTGGACTTATTTGAACTTATACCAAGAAAACTTATTTGTTATAAAGTCCGTTTTTTCTAAATTTTACCAAACTATCAATTTCCTTTAAAAGTGAAGTAAAACTAAAAATTAAAAACTCTTAAATTTTAAGAGTTTAACTAACATTAAAATTTTTTTTCTCTCATATCTATCTATATCCATATAGATGGTTAAGACTACATCTCTCATATATATTGATAATGCACAAATTGGTCTCGTGCAAGATCAACAGTCGAGTACATGAAGAGGTCTAATTAATAAACAATAAATAAGAAAGTCAATGGCAAAATAGTAAATATGAGCAAACACACAGATATATAGTGGTTCGATTCGAGTGACCTACTCCACTCTCGAAAAACAGCAGCGGTGGCCAGAGGTCTTTATTAATGAATAAAGTAACCAGCAGAGTATACTCCAGGAAATTACAATGTTTAGGAGAGAGAAATTTGGTGTGTAAGAAAGTGTAGAGAGATAAAGTTCACGGTGTAGTGTGTTGGGAGAGATGTTGTAAAGATGTGTAGAGGTGCCTCTCCATGTGGAGAGAGTTTACATTATATAAGTTTGGTGAGGCGGTGATATGAGGGAGAGAGCACTACTCTTTTCGTACGTCCAATTAAGGTAGGATTTGATTCCCATGAATGCATATTCTGATATTCTGTCTCTCTCTCCCATGTGCTCATATCTTCCCATTCTCCTGGATCTTGGACTAGGTTGGATCGGTAAAGTGGGCTTGAGATGCCTTTTAGCTAACTTGGGCTTACTTGATTCATTGGGTCTGGCCCAGTTGATTTTGAACTCATCATTTGCCCCCTATGCCCCAAGCCTCCGACTATTTGCGAGAGGAGGGGGTTGGGGGCATGAGCTTCTTTTGTACTTGAGTGAGCAGGAAATTTCTTGTTCTCCACGGCGCCTTTCCATCTTTAGGGACTTGGTTGAATCTACTAACACTAGGAGTTTTGCATTTTTTGGCATTCCTTCTGCTAGGTCTTCACCTACAAATAGAGCTCTTTAGTTTCTCCCACCTCATTTCTTCCTCCATTTCCTTTGAGGCTTGTCTTAGAAGCCATCCTTCAAGGCTTCTCTAAGAAGCTTTCTTCTCCTATTTTAAGGCTTCCCCAAGAAGCCACCCTTTCTTAAACCCATTTCTCTACCCAAGTCTTCTCTATTCCAATTCAAAACAAGATAATGGAGACTAGGAGCTCGAACAGTTGTGGATGGGACTTCAATGGCAATCCAGCGAGGAAAAAGGCAATTGGAGGAGAGAAGCAAGAAGGAGCTCGTGGCTTTGGCCTCATAGGCAGCGCCTATAGGGCTAGTGGCGATGCCAATGGCATTGGCATAGTAGGCAGTGCCCATGGCGCTGGGCTCACAATAAGAGGCGACAGGGCTTTGATGCAAAGAGAAGGGGGAGACGGGGCTGGTCCTGGCAAACTGCTAGGCGAGAGAGAGGCCATGGGCAGCACCACGGACGGTGCCAGCTGTGTCGTGGGTGACACCCGAGGGGGCTGTCATGGTGCAGATGGCGCCCTGGGTCGATTGGCGCCTTTGGCCGTTCTGGCATTGGGTCTATGGGATCACAATGCCCCTTTGGCCGTTTGGGGCTGACAGTGCTGTGGAGAGTGGGTGAGATGGAGAGATGGGAGAAACAGGAGGGCACTCCCCCATGGGCAGAGCCAACACAGTGCTCGGGGCCATGGACGATGCCAACCCCTCATTGGAAAAGGCCATGGGTGGTGCTTGCTCTCCCTTGGGCGGCGCCCTCTTAGCGGGGGTTCTTCATGTTGCATCAGGCATTAAAGGAGTCTTTGGGGGAGGTGCCAACATAGTAGGCGAGGTAGAAGGTCAGGCGGGTAGCGCCCTTGGCGCGGGGAGGCCAGGTGGGCAGTGCCCTTGGTACTGAGGTAGGCACTCCTAGTGTTGACGCTGGCATCCTTAGCGCTGGCGATGACTTGAGCCGTATGGGCAGTTCTAGGAGGCATGCAAGCAAGTTTAGTGGCATCTTGGGGAGCTTAGGTAGTGTGAGGAGGCGGTCAGTCAGTGACCTGAATAAAACTAGCCCTTGAGGTACATTATTTGGTACTCACATTTACTCTTTGCTGGTATAGGTATTTTCTAACACTGTCTTGATTTTGTTTTGGCAGGTGTTCATTTAGGTGAGCGGGAGACTACTCGAGACTTCGAGCAAGGCCTGGAGACTGATGGAGACAATGGCTCTAAGGTAGCCATTATACTTAGCTCCCTTGACTGTGATGAGGATATTGCAGCTATAGTTTTCTCATATTGCATCCCTCCTTTTGTGATGTGCTGTCGCGCTGAGGGCGACGAGCCAGCGTGTTGTGAATCCTCTGGCGAGATAATTCTTTACAAGGATATATTGGAGGCAGGCCTGAAGTTTCCAATACTTGGGCCTATATGTCAGGTTCTAGGGCACCTATTGCTAGTTCTTGGAAGATTGGCCCTGAACGGGTGGAGGGTGATACTAGCATTCTTTTCATTGTAGCGGTTAGTACTCAGTGTTGATATTCCTCCCTCGTTCGAGGAGTTCTTGGCCACGTATGTACTCTTGGAGAACCCCATTCCTCACCAGGGGTGGTACCATTTTGCCTAAGGTCAGGTAAATTCATTATTGGGATTGTTTCAAATCTTTATAGTTGGAAGACTAAGTTCTTCTTTGTTGGAGGTGAGTGGGCTACCGAGACTGATCGTCACTTGGCACCTTTGAGATGGGATACTGTCCCTAAGACCAAGCTGGGTAAGGAATCCACCTTTAACTTTTACTCTAGTCATCACATATTTGTTCTTACAGTGCAATTGGCTTCCTTGTAGCTTCCCCGACGCTATTTGTGGAGCAAGAGAACAGGCTGTAGATGGTACGTGACCATCCGTTTAAGGAGTTCTCAGAGATTATGTCGGCGTCTGGTCATCTCAAGGCTTCTCCCAAGCCGAAGAGGAAAGGTATTTGATCTTTCCGGTAGACTCTTTATAGGCATAATGTTGTGGACTTTATAATTTATACTGATTTTGCAGGTACCTCCGTTGACAGGCCGATGGTGGAGGAAGTCTATGTTTCCAGGGTGGCATCTTCCCCTCCTTCTTCAAAGAGGGCGAAGTTTCATGCCCGTACACTTCTCAATCGAGGCCCACTGGTTAGGCTAGTCCCCGAGAGATAGAGCTTGGTGATGCCCCTCATTCTCCTCTGATTGATGTCTCCTCATTCCCTAGAGATGGTCCCAGCACTATTGGGGGGGCTAAAGCTTCGACGCAGTCTTTTGCTAGGACAGAGGGTCTGCCTAGCTGTCCTGTTTCGGGCAGTGCTTCAGTATCTATGTTACAGGATATGAGGCTAGCTAAGAAGAGACTTTGGGGGTTTGTGACCCACACAGAGGTTGAGGAGGTTGTCTCTCGAGGCCATGAGGGTATTGTTGACACTACTGTGGAAGGATTTACTTTGGTATGTCTTGCACTCTTCTTTGGTTTCGTTCCTGGTTTTCTTCCTTTATATTTTAACTTTGGATACCTATAGGTGGCTGGCATTCTGCCCTGCTTGTTTTCGAGCACGTTGAAGGTCAGGGAGACGCTTGATGGCTGGGCAGCGGAGAGGCAGACACGCATGGCTGCTGAAGAACAGCTAGAGCTCGAACGGCAGACATGAGAGAATACGGCGAAGCAGTTGGGGCTCGAGCAACAAGCACGAGAGGATGCTGTAGAACAGTTGAGGCTAGCACACGAGAGAGTTGTCATCTTTGAGATCGAGCTTCAGGCGTCCCACAAGAAGGCCACCCAATTGAAGGCTGACCTTCGAGCAGCTCTTGTGAGAGCTACTAGGGTAGAGGCTCACTCCATAGAGATGGAAAAGAGGAGGAACGCTACTGAGAGGGTCATGGAAGGCACCTTTATTAAGGACTACGAGGAACTCAGGATGAAGGTCTCAGTAACATTCCCTGTTTATGAATTTTTTGGCTTTTTACCTTATGAGGCTCTAGGGACTGATGAGGAGGATGCAAGCTACAATGGGAGCGGAGGTAGTGAGTGTCGCTAAGAGCGTGGTGCTTTTGTATTTATGTTTTTGTTAATAGGTCAGGTTCTATTTTTTGTAAAAGTTTCATGAACTTCTATGAAATACAAATTTTTGGAAAAAATATTGCGAAATTTTATTTCATAATTCGAAGTAAATATTTAAAAGAAATTGATCAAAACAGAAATAGATAATCTAGATGGTGACCACTAACTCTTACACATCACTACCTTGCCACCAACTACTGGTAGTATTTCTTTAGATGTTCTGCGTTCCATGGATGAACCAGGACTTTTCCTTCAAAATTCTGAATTTTATGGGTGCCCGGTCTTACAACTTCTATGATAGTGTAGGGTCCTACCTAGTTGGGTCCTAATTTTTCTTGTTGGGAGTCTTTGGTAGATAGGTTGAAATTTTTTAGGACTAGGTCCCCGGGAAACAAAGGCTGAGACTTCACCATTGAGTTGTAGTATTTGGTCATATGACACTTATACTCTACATTCCTGAGCATGAATATCTTCCTTTCTTCTTCTACCAAGTCGAAGTTGATGCGAAAGCCTTCTTCATTATTGATAGGGTCATGGTGTTGGACCCTATGGAAATGCATCCCAATCTCGACAGGTAAAATCGCCTCTATCCCAAAGGTTAGGGAAAAAGAGGTCTCATTTGTGGGGCCTCGTGGTGTCATCCTATAGGCCCACAGTACTCTTGGGAGTTCGTCTACCCATCGTCCTTTTGCACTCTCTAGTCTGGCTTTCAAATTGTGGAGGACAGTCCTAACGGTAACCTATGCTTACCCATTTGCCTATGGATGGACGGAGCTGGAGTGGGGCTGCTTGATTTGTAGGTCTAAACAGAAGCTTTTGAGGAGTTTGTTGCCAAATTACTTGGCATTATCACTTACAATGGCATAAGGTATTCCAAAGCGGCAGACTAGACTCTTCCATATGAAGTTCTTTATCTTTTGATCTGTTATTCTGGCTATACTTTGGCTTCTGCCCACTTAATAAAATAGTCAATGACTACCACTACAAACTTGCATTAGCCTCAATTCACAGGGAGGGGACCTAGGATGTCGATCCCCCACATGGAGAAGGGCCATGGGCTCTAGATGGTGGTGAGCTCTTCTAGTGACTATCTGGGCACAGTCGCGATGCACTAGCATTTATCACATTTCATGACAAACTCGCGGGTGTCTCTGATCATAGTAGGACAATAATATCCCTGCCTGACTACTTTGTGGGTCAGTGTATGCTCTCCTGAGTGATTCCCATATATTACCTCATGGATCTTCATCATGGTGTAATTGGCTTCCTTGGGGGTGAGACAGTGAAGTAGTGGTAGGGAATAACTTTTCTTGTATAGGGTATCTTGTAGGATGACATACCTGGACACTCTCATTCTCAATCTTTTGGCTTCCATTGGATTTTCTGGGAAAGCACCCTCCTCTAGGTAAGCTTGGATGGGAGTCATCTAGTTGGACTCTGAGGATGTAAAGTTGACATTGTCCTCCTCTATTTTGAAAGTGCTAGGTCAAACTGGTGACCTGTTAGTGCCATGCCCATGAGTATATTGGTAGTCGCGAATATGGCGAGGGTGTTTGCCATGACATTCTCTTCTCAAGGCACATGGTGGATTTGGAAGTAGGAGAACTTTTTTAGTAGGGCTTGGACCACCAAGAGGTACTCTTGCATTCTTTCCTCATTTGCCTCAAAGTCTACCTTTTCCTGGTTGACTATGAGTTGGGAGTCACTATAAGCCGTTAGGCAGAAGGCCTTCATCTCCAACGCCAACTTCAAGCCTAATATGAGGGTCTCATATTCAGCTTGATTGTTTGATGCGACAAAGTAGAAGGAGATGACGTACTTCAACGGAGTGCCATGGGGGTTGATCAATACTAGTCCCGTGCCACTGCCCTCATTGGTGGAGGACCCATCCACGTAGAGTCTCCAACCTGGTATAGTGGGTGGTGGAGAGGGAGCTTCCTCCACGAGCGACGCTGTTTGTGATGAGGGGAGCTATGTTGGCATCGAAGAGGTAGGAGGTAGTGGTCTGCTGGGCAACATTTGGAGAGAGAGGAAAGTGGGATGCGATATAGGCAGAGAGAGCAGCGCCCTAGGCAGGGTGGGCAGCACTCTAGTCAAGGTGGGTGGCTCCCCGGTAGGGAGGGTGGCTCCCTAAGCTACCCACCCTGTGGAGCCATCTCCGAGTCAATCTTCTAGTCGTCGAGTCCTCTCAGGGTAGTGTTTGGACTAGTCTCCTAGTAGTGTGTATTGAGCAGGTGGGCACAGGGGCACCTGATACATCATCTCAGGACTCTTGTGGCGGTGTAGACTCTGCCACGAAATTCACAAGTGCATGTGCTTTGATGGATGACCTTGGCTGATATTGCACATCGAACTCGCTTAACTTGATGGCCCACTTGAGCAGTTGGCAAAACAAATCAGGATTTCCCAGAATTCTCTTAAGAAGTTGATTTGTAACAACTATGATGGTGTGGCTCTGAAAGTAGTGGTGTAGGCGTTTGGCAGCAGTGACAAGTGCAAGAGTCAATCTTTCTGAGTTCTGAGTACCTTACCTCTGCCCCTCGATACGCCCTACTTACATAATATACATGATTCTGGATGCTTCCATCCTCCCTAATGAGGACAGAGCTCACAACATAGGGTGAAGAGGAGAGGTAAAGGTACAGGGTCTCTCTTGGTATAACATGGGAGAGTAAAGATGGTGTGGCGAGGTAGGCCTTCAGCTTCTAGAAGGCCTCCTCTGCGTATGGACCCCACTAGAAAGATCTGCGGAGGATTTAAAGAAAGGCAGGCATTTATCTGCTAATTTAGAGACAAACCTGTTGAGGGCTTCTATCCTCCCATTAAGGCGTTGGACCTCCTTTGTTGAGGTTGGGAACTTTATCTCCAGGATGGTTCTGATCTTGTCTAGGTTGGCTTCAATGTCCCTCTTGTTGACTGTAATGCTTAAGAATTTTTTTGAATTGGCGCCA